GCTCAGGCACACCCTGCAGACAGCAGGTGATGGCCCAGTAGCTGGATTCCAGCCTTGCGTGTAGGAGACCTAGATGGAATCTCAGGTTCCAGACTTTGGCCCTGGCCCAGCAGATGGGAGACGCTTACTCTTTCTCCCCATCACTTGCTCCAGCTCTCTCTCTCTGCCTCTTTCTCTATTAAATAAATCAATGAATTTTTAAAAAGATTTATTTATTTTTACTGGAAAGGTAGATATACAGAGAGGAAGAGAGACAGAGAGGAAGATCTTCCATCTGATGATTCACTCCCCAAATGACCACAACGGCTGGAGCTGAGTCAATCTGAAGCCAGGAGCCAGGAGCTCTTCCGGGTCTCCCACGTGGATGCAGGGTCCCAAGGCTTTGGGCTGTCCTCAACTGCTTTCTCAGGCCACAAGCAGGGAGCTGGGTGGGAAGCAGGGCTACTGGGACTAGAACTGGTGCCCATCTGGGATCCCGGTATGTGCAAGGTGAGGACTTTAACCACTACGCCATTGTGCCAGGCCCTAGAGTGTACATATTTAATCCACATAGCCGACTTCTAATAACGGAGAATATGTCTATCACAACAGAATGGTTGTGTAAGTCTTGGTACCCCTTAGAACCGGAAATGCTATGGTAAAAGTGCAGGAGTATTGACCCACATGCAAAGCTCTCCAAGGCCAACTGTGAAATGGGAAGAAAGGGAGGCAGCAGCACACAGGCGCAAAGTGGCTGTTTCCAGAGAGACGCCCTGAGCAGCTAACCTCGGCAGGGAGGGCTGAAAAGGAAGGGAGACGGGGACTTGGTTTGTATCATTAATTTTTGTTTTGTTTTGTTTTGTTTTTTTCTCTCAAATGTTCTCAAGAAACAAGGTGGGCATTTGTTCAAAGCAGAGTTATCCACAAGAGGCGACTCACATATCCACCTGCAGAGGACTGGATCAACAAAGTGTGGCACGAGACAAAATATTCAGATATAAAATAGACTGCGGTACGGACTCGTGCTACAGTACGGCTGAATCTCAGACCCATTTATACACAAGGAAGAAAGCCTGCCGCCAAAGGACCACACCGACATTTGGAGCCCGGTGAAGTAAAATCTGCAGTCATCAGGGGGAAGTTGGGATTGTCAGGCACACTGGGGTTAGCGTGGAGAAGTGCTGGGGGTGAGGTGGCAGGGAGAAAGAGGTTTTGGAGATGGAGGTGAAGGTGGATGGCAGCAACCGCCACATAGGGCAGGGGATGGATGCACCTGCGCTTCTGAGCTGCCCACTCGGGGACGGCTCCAGGGCAGGTGCTGGGCATGGTGCCTGAGATGCTGTTTGTGATAACCTGCATCCTAGAAGGGAGTGTGCAGCTCCCATCTCAGCTCTGCTCTCTATTCCAGCTTCCCACCAGTGTGTACCCGGAGGAGACAGAGGGAATGGTTTAAGCAGTGAGGTCCGTGCCACCCACATGGACCAATGTGGATCGAGTTCCCATCTGCTGGCTTTGACCTGGATCAGTTCTGACTACAAACAGCATTAAAAAAAAAAAGATTAAGTTATTTTTATTGGAAAGTCAGATAAACAGAGAAGGAGAGACAGAGAGAAAAGATTTTTTGTCTGCCGGCTCACTCCCCAAGTGGTCTCAGTGGTCGGAGCCATCCAAAGTCAGTAGCCAAGAGCCTCTTCCGGGTCTCCCACGCGGGTGCAGGGTCCCAAGGCTTTGGGCCATCCTCCACTGCTTTCTCAGGTCACAGGCAGGAAGCTGAACGGCAAGTGGAGCAGCCAGAACATAAACCAGTGCCCATATGGGATCCTGGTGCATACAAGGTGAGGACTTTAGCCACTAGGCTAAATAGCATCTTTAGGCATCTGGGGGAGTGAACCAGAGAATAAAAGGTCTCTCTCTTTCCTGCCTCCCCTCATTTCTCCTACCTTTCTGATAAGCAACTTTTTAAAACAGAATGGCTTTGATGGTGCATTTTATGTCTTTGTTACCATAATAGAAACGCTAAATAAGTCACAGACAAGCACTTGTAGAACGTTTATCATTACCAAGTTGCTCTGAGCTGCTGCTGATTGACTCTTCCATGAAAATGCACATGTGCTGGGCAACATGTTACCAAAAATGGGAGACGTAACCAAGCTTAAAATACAGCACGGGCAACACTCAAGTCTCCAGAAATAAGAGGGAACTGCAGACTGCAGATGAAAGCCAAAGCCTGGGGCAAGCACACCCATCATCCTTGGGTCAGAAGGCTGGGAGCTGTCACCCTGTGGGTGGGAAGATGCCGACACACAGCCCCTCTGTGGCAGAGAGCCTCAGCAGGGTGAGGCTGTCCCTAAGCCTCCTGCAGGGAGCCGCGAAGGAGCCACTCGCAGACAGCCAGAAAGAGGGAAGTCACACCTGGGTCATTAGAACCCTCGGGCTCACCCGCCCGTGGACGTGCTGGCTAAGTTTATCCCACCCATGGGGAACAGGATCCTTAAGCTGTGGTATAGCCGATAACATCATCCAGACGAGTGAAACCCTCACGCCCCGAGGACAGAAACACAAGACGCACGGCTTCCACCAAAAAGAGAAGACGGGAGGGTAGGATGAGTCCACGATGAACAGCGAAAAAAAAAAAAAATCCTGAGGGACAGAGAGCATGTGAGTGTGAGCATGCACACACACGTACACACGTGTGTGCACATGCATAAACACATGCAGCGTGCACACACTCGTGCACACATATGCACGCAGACCACATGCACAAGCACACCAGAAATAGCAGCCCCCAGAACTGGAGCTGTTCAATCCATCCCAAAGCGCCTACACAACATGCGATGTCAACGGTCAAAGAGAGGAAAGGCAAAACCCACAGCAGGGCTAAGGCTGAGGGGGAGAGGGCGAGGTCCGCTCACAGCTGGCACGACACGCAGGTGGAGGTTAGCAGTGGGCCGTGGGAGGGAGAGGCTGGCTGGGGACGGATGTGGGAGCCCTGCTGAAGGTAGCTCAGATGTCTGTGGAAGAACTGGGACTGGCCGGCACATCAAGCGCAAGGGGGAGGCGTCCCTTGGAAGTAGATGAGTAGATATGCAATAGATGCAAACCTGGGAGTGTCTTTTTATGGATACCAAATATTGTCTCAGGGCGGACCCCTCCTGGGGTTTCTGCTGTAGAGGAAAGGGCAAAGAAACACCTGCAGGGGCTGGCATTGTGGTATAGAGGGTAAAGTCACCACCTGCCATGCCAGTGTCTCCATGCCAGTGCAAGTCCTGGCTGCACCTCTTCTGAGCCAGCTCCCTGCTAAAGGCCTGGGAAAAGCAGTAGAGGATGGCTCAAGTGTATAGGCCCCTGCCTGCCATCCATGTGGGAGAACCACATGAAGCTCCTGGCTTTAGCCTGTTGCAGTGCTGGTTGTTTTAATCATGCAGAAATAGAACCGGTGAATGGAAGACCTCTTTCTTTATATGTCTCCATTCTAGGCCTGCCCGATTCTCAAGATTGGTACTTTGGCCTGGGGAGGGTTCTGAACCAAGGAGGCAAGAAAAGGGGATCAGAAAAAGGACCAGATGTTAGGAACCAGGTGACCACCACCACAGTTGTCACACTCCTGGACATGGCTGAAACCAGATTTCCCAAACACTTGATCCTAAGGATAACCCTGCCCGCCCACTGTGACTACGCATAGCAAAGGCCAGGAGAGGAAGGTGCTAGGGTTCGGGTGCGGTGTGGACCCCAGCAGTTCCTGAGCTGCAAGCTTGGTCCCCAAATGGAACAAGATTGATGACAGAAGGAAATCCTGGGTTCTCACGGGAAAGAATAAGCCCTTACAACAGTGGATCGTCATGAATGAGCAAGCCCGGCTCCTCCCCCTGCCCCTGTTCTCTGTCTCACCAAGTGAGCTCTTACAGGTGCTCCACTCGCTGCTCTCATACGCTCCAGTCCTACGATGCTACCATTGCTGGGGGTTCCCCCACCCAGTCTCTCCAGAGGCCGGCACCATGGTACTTGAACAGAATCATGGGCCAAACAAACCTCTTTCCTCTATGCATTGCTCAGCACCAGCAATTCTGTGACAGCAAATTATACAGATAAATACAACAACAACAAAAAAAGGGCGGGAGTGGGGGACTATGGGAGGACAGGGGAGTGGCCTGAGCCAACAGGTGCAAGGGCAGCACCCTGCATCCTTGGTGGCGTTCTAGAACTGGCTCCAACCCACTGAACATCGACCACATTCCACCAATGTAAGAGACTCTGTAAGCCTCAGTTTCCCTACATGTGAGCTCAGACGCACACACACACACACACCTTTCAAAGCCTGGATCCACTGCACCATTATCAGGAGACCCTCCTTGGTCATTGCACATCTCCTCCTAAAAGTCCTGCCACACCCCTCTGAGCCAGCAACCTGAAACCTCGGCCTGATCCTGTGTCTTGATCGTCACACAGAGGCCTCAACCTGTGGTCCCCGCTGCACTTAGAGGGATTGCTCAGGAGGGGCTCGGACCATGGCGGCCACTAGCCACACTCAGAGCTGGAAGAACAAGTCTGCTTTGTCTGCAGGCCATGTCCACTCCATACAAAACGTTCTAACAACACACATCCCCAGCCATACCCCTCCAAGTACAACAGGGCAGCCAAGGCAGGTCCTGACCCTCACTGCTGCCCATCTCTCCTTGGCTCCTGCTCCCTATCACAGGCCTGTTTTCACCACCCCACCTCCCCCAACATATTCTGACCCCACAGGCTTAGAAGTCCAAAGAGCATGGGCCCAGTTACCTGCCTTCAATTGCCTGTGCTTTTGGTGTAGCCATTCCATGAACAAGATAATTTCGTTGATGTATCCTATGATTTCTCTGCCCTCATAAAACCCTACCAAGGCCCTCAGAACACACAGATCTTGGGGAGGCTTCAAGGAAAGGGGTTCAGAGAGAGGAATCTGCAGAGGAAACCCCAGTCTGGGCCACAGTGACCAGCCCCACCGTGGGGTACATGCCCCTGGCAAAACAGAAGCAGAGTCTCACCTTGGTGCTCGTCCAGCTTCCCAATGGTCTCAATCTGCTCCACCAGGTCGTTGGAGTTCCACTGGCTCATCCCGAGGAGGATGGCATTCTTGCCCTCGGCCATTTCCTCTGTGAGAAAGATCAGAGCTGGCATGAGCAGGCAGCACTGTGTGCAAGGTGGCCCTGACAGGGAGCTAGGTCACAGGAAGGGTTTATCCCTTCCTCCAGTGGGGGTGGATGGCAGCCTTTCAAAGTGTCTGCAGCTACAGATGGGTAGGAGGCATCCAAGAATCAGGTGCTGCAAGAAGGCATCGTTGTTGTACCTTACTGGGTACTGGGATACCACCCCTGGCTATGTAAGAAGATACTAGAGGCATGCGAGAAGTCTCCATCCTGGCACTGAGAGTGGCGTTTCATGAAAGGCAGTTTATGGAGAAAGAGCAGAACCTTGCCTCTGGCCAACAGCCTGTAATGGGGCACACTGTTGGATTTCTAAGCGCCCCCCCATACCCCCATCAGTAAAATGGAACTACGAATGTCTAAATTTAAGGGTTGTCCCAGGGTGAAATCTGGAACAATCCACAGTGAAGCTTCTGAATTCAAAGGATGCCCTGAGCTATCTGAAACCTTTGGTGCACATCTCAACTTAAGGGACCTCTTAATGCCATCATTCTCTTGCACTCCACCCTGTGACCCTGTCTCTAACCTCGCCCCCTTGTTTGAGCATAGCAGTGAATGTCCTGAAAGCAATCAGGGAGTGCTAGTCCCCAACCATCCTGAACACCAGCCCTTGGATCCTGCACATCCAGTGCCTACATCTGCTGCAGCCCCTCATCCTACAGGAAGTCAGTTATTTTTTGAAGATTTATTTACTTTTATTGGAAAGCCAGATTTACAGAGAGAAGGAGAGACAGAAAGAAAGAGATTCTATCTGCTGATTCACTCCCCAAGTGGCTGCAACAGCCGGAGCTCAGTTGATCCAAAGCCAGGAGCCAGGAACCTTTTCCGGGTCGCCCATGTCAATGCAGGCTCCCAAGGCTTTGGCCATCCTCGACTGCTTTCCCAGGCCACAAGCAGGGAGCTGGATGGGAAGCGGTGCAGCTGGGACACAAACTTGTGCTCATATGGGATCCCAGTGCTTGCAAAGTGAGGATTTAGCCATTGAGCCATCGCACTGGACCCAGCAGGACAGTTCTTACAGAACAAACCTATTGGGGTGAGCAGGGGTGAGGGAGAGTTGCCTTCTCCACCCTGGCACACATCAGAAGAGTTATCCTTCCTTCACGCCCACCCCCACCCCCGTACCCTGCACACAGCACCGACACTAAAGGACATGGAAGAGAATCCTGAAGAATGGAGGGGTGAGACCCACTTTGTGGCCAAACAACTTAGCACAGCAGGTGGACCGGACATGGTGGAGCAGCTGCTCGGGGAGCTGTCCAGAGTTCTGATCCACAGTGCAGCTGTAGTCATGCAGACCCCACTGCTGGCAAGGCACCTCCTCCTGACTTAAATGATCACTTTTCCTTTCTCTTACACACTGCGACAGTTAGACAGTGCTTTCCAAATATGAGCCCTCTTAACTTCAGAATAGTACTCAAAAAGTATAATTACCATTTTTTCTGTTTTGTAGCCAAGGAAACTGAGGCACGGGGCGAACTCAGTAGATCATGCTTAAGGCCAAGGTCAGTGGTGGGCCTGGGAGTCAAACTCACAGTGAACACTTGAAGAGCTCAGTAGTCCTGGAGAGCCTACCGAGAACTCCCCCTGTTGGCTGCCCGAACTCCAGCTAGATGTCACACATGCCTAGATAACTCTCTTGAGCCTGGCAGGTTTCCTCTGTGGGGTGCTCCACCCCTATGAGCAGCTCTGTGTAGTGGTCCCTAGGGCAGAACCTGCCACCTGGAGGCCATGTGCTTTTTGTACATACATGCCCCTTGAATGTCACGGGCTGCTTCCTTAGCTCCTAAATGGCAACACCAATTTGGGTGTTGTTATTCGTTCTAGCCAGGTGCCGTGGGGACAGATACTACAGTACATCCGCAGGAAGCTCGGCAAGCAAAGATGTTGAGCATAAACAAGAAGGAGGGCCTCACTCCTGGGGAGGCAGGGCGTGAAGTGGGGTAAGAGAGTTCAGTTTTGGTGCTGGGTTGACGGTTTTCAGTCCTGGAGCTGCTGCCCCTGCTGGTGTACAATCCATGTGAGGCCTCGGTTTTCTCATCTATGAAATGCTAACACAGCCGTGTTTTGTGTCATGGGTTGCTGTGGGGATTGAATGAGATGAACGGTGCTGCTCGCAAGAATGCCTAGCATGCAGTGGGAATGCAGCCAGCCATGGCCACCATGTGGGACTGTGTCCCAAGGCCCACCCCTAGGGTGCTGTCCCCAGGACATGCCACTCCAGACAGTCAGGATCCACCAGCAGCCCACCTGGATTCTGCATCTCCTAGCTAAGTTACCAAGAAGGCAGCTCTCCATCTGTTTGCCCTAACCTTTGTTCTGCAGGGCCTGGATCCCTAAAGGATCTGTGTATAGCATGCGACATGGCCTTCCTGCTGCAAAGAGCCCCAGGTTTGGGGTAGGGGAAGGGGGAGAAGAGAGAGCCAGCACTCTGGTGCCATGCCAGATGCACAGCCCTCTCTGGCTCTCGGTTTTCTCCCAGGGGTACATGCGAGACCAGCAGAGCCTTATAGGGTCTGCCGGGGGGCTCTGAAGGGGTGAGCCTCCTTCCTGCAGCTCCAGCCTTCCTCCTGAGGACTGTGGGATCCGGCTGTATCCTCTGTCAATCAGACTCGCACTACGATCCTCTCCCCGTCTCTGGATCCCTTTCAGGGGGCCTCTCGCTCGTGGCCCTTGTGCTGCTCTCTGGCGCCTCTGTCCACCTCTTTGGGCTGCTGGCTCGAGCTCCCTTGTTCTCTCCTTTCTCCAGGAACCTCATCTCCTATGGGTGCAGGATCCTCTCCCTGACCTCCCTCCATTCTCATGGGGTTCCTTGTCGCGCTTGGGGTCCCTGCTCCTTAGGTGCTCTGCCTGCTCCAGGTCACTCTCTCTCCAACCCATCTCTCATCTCTCCCTGCCTCTCCCACCTCTTCCCTGTCCCAGTTCCTGACATTTGGACTCTTGTCCCATGGGTGGCAGCCACAGAGAGAGAGAGAGAGAGAGAGAGAGAGAGAGAGAGAGAAGAAGCTGCCTCTGAACCCCTTCCTTTTGGAGTCACTTGTGTCAGGGGTCCCATGGCTGGGCTCTGAGCTTCACTCTACTCTGTCACTGTAGCCAGGCCTTCCCCGCAGGACCCCCAGAGGCCACAAAGAGCTCCCATGAGGAAACGCCCTGGCAGTGGGTTTAATCATCCCCTGCATGTTAATTCTCCCCCTCTTCCCCTCCCCTCAACTCCCTGTGACCTTGGCCTGGGTGGTTTTAGTACCAGCCCCACCTCCACTAAGCCTAATCCCTGCCAACTAAGCTGAGGCTCATCTGCCATCGCCTGCAACCACAGGCTTGACCTCAAATGGACCTTGACCCTGGCCAAAGCTTGGCTCTAGCCCTTGAAGTATACTCCCTGGTGCTAGAGAGGAGCCTGCCCCTGGCCCTCTTGCTCCCAACCCCAGCAGCCTCTGTGGTCGCAGTTGGGTCTACAGGACACTGGGACAGGAGAGCTGATCCTCCTGGAGCTGAGGGACTGGGCCCCCATCTCCGCAGCCACCACACCAGTCTTCCCTGGGACCCAGAGGTCCCACTTTGGCTCTGGGGTCCCCACCCCACCCAGTCCCAGGACAGTCTTTGAGCTGGTTCTAGAACATTCTCTACTCCTGTGCCTTCCCGCATCGAGGAGACTCATAGTTGCAGCTCCAGTCCCAACTTTCCACAGATGAGGTCTCTGGGCACCCCTTTCTACTCCCTTTCCACGCCCGCTGTGGCTGGGAACCCAAGAAGACTGTGAGAATGCAACCAAAGTCAAAATCACCAACAGATGGCAGCATTCAGTCCAGCTCCTTGGGTCCAGCCTCGTTCCTGCCAAGGGGATGGGGCACCTTGGCCATTGCCAGCCCTGAGAGAGGCAGAGGCTACTTGGGAGGAAGGGAACAGGTAGAGACAGATATTTCACAGTCTGGAGAATCCCCCTGACTCTGCCCAGGGAGCGGGTATCATGCTTTGCCCATGGTCAAGTTACCTTGAGCAGACTGTGCCCTAGAAATATTGTCTGACTTCACCCCCAATTCCTACTCCCCAGCCCCAGGCCTGTTAACCATGGGCCTCCCTGCCTGCTCATGCATATTCATGGAGGGGAGGAGCTGAGGGGTAAACAAGTATTTCCACTCCACCCCCAGGCACTAGTGCCAACAGGGCCTGGCCAGGCCACACGTGGGAGCCTCACAGAGCATTCAGAGCTGAAAGAACCTTCCAGGTGGCATCTAGCATCTTCACGGTGGGCTGCACAATGGGTCCCTGGTCACCCAGAACCTCAAAGGCAGGGCTAGCCCATGAGTTCAGAGCCCCTGTCTGCCAGTCTATGAACTGTCCACTGGCAGTCCTGCCCAATCAGGACAAGAACTTCTCCATGTCTCCAGGTCAAGTGGCCAAACAACTTCAATTGGGATTTGCTTTACGTCTAAGTGAAGGATGCATCTGGTACTTTCTTGATAGAAACAATTTGCTACGGAAACAGACTGGGAAGCAATATTATCCAGCCACACACAAGTTAAACTTCCCCACGTGGCCACAGTGGCCACTCTAGCTCCAACCTGGCATCCCATTTTCTCTCCCAAACTTAGCATGGCATGGCCAGGAACCTCATGGAAGCCGAGCTTTCTGAGAGGTCAGCTGTCTCACCATGGCCATGCCCGGTTCTCTACACCCATGGTTTCCAGTGAGTTGCCCTGTCACTCTGCCATCTTCATCACCCACAGCGTGGAGCTAGATCTCTCATAGTCCAGGCACGGCTTGATTTTGAGGGTGCATCCTTCCAAGGGGGTCCTGAGGTTCATGTCTCTAGTCTTCTCAGTAACAGGGATGTGAGCACACAGGGCCAACTGGAGCCTGGACAGAGAAGTACGTGCAGAGGACACTGACTCCCAGTGGGAATCTGTCGCTCTGAAGGTCCTGGTTCTCTGAGCTCCTGTCTAATTCAGAGGCTCCAAGCTCCTTCTTCCAGAAATCGCTCAGCACCTGCTGTTCCCACTATCCAGAACGAGCTGCCCCTAGACCCACTTGTGGCTGGTTCCTCGGTCCTCAGTTCTCAGCTGGGAATGCCTTGCAGTCGTGGGGGGCAGGGAGGCTTGGGGAGCCGCCATGACAATCAGGCAGCTACACATCCAGCTGCACCATGGCATGACCACTCACTGTGTCCCCTTGAAGCCATCTAGCAAGGCAGTGAGCATGGTCTGCTCCTCCAGAAGTGTTCTGTCTCTCCCTATTCCCGGCTGTCCTCTGGCGACCCCCGATCTGCTACAGTGCTTGTGGATTGATGTGTATGTCCCCCCAAGGAGGCTCTAGGTGCAGTGTGTGCTTGGGTCTGCCTTGTACTCAGCAGATCATTTCTGAGATCTGTCCACACAGTCGCCCATTCTTTCTTACTGTAACCATTAGGTGTTCCTTTGCTTTCTCTCTCTCTCTCACCAATGTGGATTTGTATTAGTTTCAGGTCGGAGCTAAAAGGGATGCAGCTGTTGCAAGCATGCATGAGTGAATTGCCTGCTTTCCTCCCCTTGGCGTGGAGGGGATGAGTCAGGTCTGACTTTGGTCTGGTGGACATTGCCAGCAGTTCCCGTCTGAGTTGCACCATTGCACATTCTGACTGGCAAGGCTGGAAGGTTCGCATCCCTGCACACTCCTGTTGGTCCTTTCACTTCACTGTTCTCACAACTTCCTTTCCCTAACAGCTAGTGACGTTGGAGCAGCTTTCCAATGTGTCTCTTTGCTACTCACATGTCTTCTTGGGCAAGGTTCTGTTCTGTTATGCTGTTCTATGCACAGTGAATCTCAGTATAAGTTAATTGCTTGTGTGCTAGTGGCCTGGGAAACGCAGCAGAGGTTGGCTCAAGTGCTTGAACCCCTGCAAGGCACATGACAGACCAGGATGAAGTTCCTGGTAGCAGGCTCTGACCTGATCCAACCCTGGCCATTGCAGCCATGTGGGGAATCAGTGCACTCAAACACTTTGTGGTGTCAGCCAATCCTGCTATGGTTTAGGGTTGAGGCCACAGCCCTTTCTGGACATGCTGGATTTTCCTTCACTGTGTACCTTCTGACCTCCACAGACCCAGGCTATGATCTCCAATAACCTGTGGCAGTACTGACAGGAGGAAGAATAACACCTCCATGCCAAGACTTGACATCCTAGCTTGGAGCTATTACAGGCTCAGGGAGCTCCCTGACCCGGCCCAACAGCTGTCCCCCAACCCCTCTTTTGCCTTCCACCTATAAGCAAGCCCCCCCAGAATCACAGAGAGTATCCCTCTGTGCCTAGACTGTGAGCTCTGAGAGTGTCTCACACCACCAGGGAAGCCCCAGTGCTGGGCCGGGATTGGGGAGGGAGGAGTGGCGTTGTACAGAGCGAGAGGGAGGAACAAGTGGAAGACACTGAGCTCCAGGCCCCAATTCCCATCTTGAGGCAGGATCTTGGGAGGATTCTAGATTCTGGTCTGTTTCCCCACCAGTGCACTATTGAGGAGTAGGACAAACCTTTCCAAGGGACTGTCCAGTGCTGGCCCCCAAGGCTGGTCTCTTCCACGACTATGTGCATCTTGAGTATGCAGGAGTGGGGAGTGTAACTGGGGCAGAGGCAGAAGAGGGGGTACAGATCTAAGAGCTCTCAGTCCCACAAGTGTCCCCAGTATCTGTGAGACCATGCCACTCTCCTGGCAACATGGAGCTTTCAGCTCTTGGCTGTCAGCTCTGCTGGTCTGTGCGGGGAGACACTGAGATGGGCGCCTCCAGGCTCCAAGGGGAAATCTGCACATGTGGAGGAATGGCTGGGCTGGATGAGCACGAAGGCCCGAGAGTTTGTCTGGGGGCTTTATGGGGAAAATGCAGTGAGCTTCATAGGTGCCCTTCCCTCTCGGTGTCATTGTTTGGTGCTGGCCCCTTCTGCTGAGAGCAAGTGCCGGTGCCTGCTGGATAGTACAGGGGGCCCAGCACCCAGGACAGCCTGGCACAAGCTCTGGCACAAATGTCAAAGAGCTCGGGGATGAACCCCAGGGTCCTGCTGTTGGGACACTCAGAGATTGGGTGGGAGAGCTGAGTGGTGAGATCTGTCAGCCTTCTACAGCATCCCTGCCCCCAACAGAAGCTCTAGGGAGGGCACCCAGCCAGGCGTGGGGTAAGGGGTGGGGTCAGTGGATGGGTTCACTCACCTCTGGCATCAAAGAATTCATCATCTGAGCTCTCCACAGAGTCACTAAGGACATTTCGAAGGTGCCAGGGGGCGCCGCCGCCCGGGGGAGGGCCACCTGCCAAAGGGAGCACACTCATTAGGCAAGCCCAAACCAGCCAGGCCAGACGGCAGGCAGCGTGCTGCACATCCATCCTCAACCTGTGCTGCCTCAGGCCTCACAGAGCCCACCCTCTCCTCTAGTACATAAGGGTGGGAATGTATGTGCCCGTTTCACAGGTGAATAGTTAGGGCCAGAGGAGATCAGAGACTTTTGTCAAGACATAGTGTATCCGTTAGAAGAGGCTGTCATGCCGTGATAACCAATGACCCCAGCCATTTCAAAGAAAGACAGGTTCTTTCTCACTTGTGCACAGACCCAAAGGGGGCCCTGCTCATCCCTGTCTCTCAAAGGTACCACCCCCTCACAATATCACTGCCTTGAAATGTGGTGAGACCTCCAGGCTGGCTGAAGCAGAGGCAAAGGTACAAGAAAGCATGCCCAGCCTTGAATGCTTATGCCCAGAAGCAACACATCTACCCATCTGTCACCCAGAATGACGCCTGCCCGTATGTCATCCAGTATGATATACCTGCCCATGGGTCATTGGCCAAAGCAAGTCACAGGGCCATGCCCAATGTGCAGAGGGTAGAGGAGGGTGGGTAGCAGACACCCTGATGAACACAAGAAGTGGCCACCACACACAGCACACACAGGCCCACCTGGGACCGCACACAGCATGGGCAGCCCCAACAGAGAAAAGGACCCAGAACAGAGAGGAAGACTGGAGCTTCACCTCTGCCAGCAGCCACTTACACAGCGTTGTCCTTCCCATCCCACAGCCTCAGTTCTCCCTCTGCAGCATGATGACACCAACTGATCCCTAGCTGGCAGGATCCAGCATGTTCAGCAGCACCTGATTTCAGCGGGCCCAGGGAGGCATTCACAGTTCTTACCACTGTCTGCAGAGGCCAGGGTGTCGGGCTAAGGGGTGCTTGGGAGCAGTGAGAATGAGGCCACCCTGTGAAGGTGGACCCTGATCCCAAACTCTGCCCCAAACCACCTGCTGGGCCAGGACCACGGAAGGAGGGTTGGGAGGACAGATGTGGAGCCAGAAAACCCCGCTCTGTTGTCAGAGTCCCTTGCACCAGGTACTTGGGGACCCCTGTGAGACCAGCACTCCCACCTCCCCCTCAGCAAGCTGCTCAGATACACTGGAATGAGATGCTGGGGACTGCACAGGGAATTAAAACTGCGGAAATGAATGCCTAAAATGATTAGAATTCTGGAAGGAATGGCAGATGAGCTGAGAGACCGAAGCACATAACTGGCCACCTGGGGCTCAGACATGCCACTTGTCTGCAAGAAGCCCATGTGTCTATTCACGGGGGCTGGGTGGCACACACCCACAGAGGATGGAGTAACTCTTCAGATACTGACATGGAAAGATGCTCAAGAGATTTGCCATGGGCACATCCCAGAACAGTATGTGCCTTTTGACTCCATTAAAAAAAAAATGACCTGTACTTGCATCCTGAGACAAGTGCCACATGGTCAAGAACCTGGGCTCTGGGGCTGGTGTGATAGCGTGTCAAGTGGAGCCACGGCTCGCGACACTGGCACCCCATCTGTGAGCGCTGGTTCAAGCCCCAGCTGGTCTACTTCTGGTCCGACTCTATGCTAACAGACACAAGAAGGCAGCAGGAGCTGGCCCAAGTTCTTGGGCTCCTGACAGCCCTGCTGGAGACACAAATGGAGTTCCTGGCTCCTGGTTTCCACAGAGTGGATTTGATGAGAAGCAGAAGAAAACTCGGGTTTTTACTGCATGTGTCATTTTAGATGATTACTAATTTTATAGAACTCTTTTTTTTTTTCCTGTGACAAATCTTGTTTTCTAGGACAAGCACACAAAATGCTTTCTAATGAAAAGTTAATATGCAAGATAAAAGAGGTTTTTAGTTAGAGTGGATTATTGGAGGGAGAAGGGAGTCACAGCATAATGATCAAACTGTTGATGCAACAGAAATTCTTGTACATGAACACACTTAACTGTTTAGGCGCCTAGGCAATTAAAGAAATGATGATAAAATCTAAAAGCTTAAAACCAAATGTATTAATTTGGCTCATGGTTTGAGATGCACTTTTTTTTTTTTGCCACTGACATTTTTGAAATTGGGCTGTGGCTTAAATGATGGCATCTCATGATTCCATTAGCATGATTTATTCTTGGCCAGAGGAGGTCTGCAGCCTAATGTGCAGTTCACAACTGATTACATCTTCCATGAGAAACAGCCCAACCGGCATGCACAAGGGCCTCCCTTCCCTGGGCCCCTGCGTCCGGCATGCACACAGGGCCTCCCTTCCCCAATGCCCCAGGCACACCTATTCTTATCCCACCCAGTGCCCTGGGTTCTAGTGTCAGCAGCAGAGTGACCAAACCACATGACAAGGGACCTGGCAGAGACTGGCCTGCTCTGAGATCTGCAGAACCCAGCTGAGACATAGCAGGTGCCAGGGGACAGATGGAAAGCAGGCATTGTCCCTTGCCACGGCTCTTGCAGCATCTTCCGCTGTAAGCTGATAGAGCCCATTGCAGGCTCAGCTCCCCTTCACCCCTGCCCTTCAGGGTGCTGACACTCCTTATGCCCTTATGCTCAGCTCTACAGCATAAACCATTCCCAGGGACACCTCAGGTGGCCCAGGACAGGGCCCTCCTGTCTGTCACTCTGCCCCATCTATCATACATTCCCAAATACACCCAGCTTAAGCAGCAACCTTGGAGTCCCCACTAGTCACAGCATGAGTTCTACCCCAGGCTTCCCTGGCTCCCCTGAGCTCTGAGCCCTGACCTAGTACTGTGGGCTGTGCAACAGGCCAACTTACACTGCAGCCCTAATGTACCCTCACCATGCTTCTCCAATGTCATTATGGGACTGCTTTCCAAATGCAGGCGGAGGAAGTTCTAACTTGTGTAATAAGACACACACACACACACAAAGAAGATATTCTTATATCTTATACAGACCAGGAGGGAGGAAATAAAGCTGTCTCAATCATCAGGTGACATCATTGTCTACATGGAGAACAAAAGAAAGCTACAAAATCTACCAAAAAAAAAAAAAAAAACAAGAGAAAAGCCCCATTGGGTCCAATAACCAAGCGTATCAAGAACAAAGACCACAAAATGAACGTGCACAACCCAGTTGCATTCCCATATTCCAACAATAATGGAAACTTGAAAATTACAAAAACAACAGCACATATAATAACACGAAAGTGATACTTGGAAATACATCAAAGATATGTGGGTGTTTCTTTGATTCAAGAAATACAGGGGTGATCACTGCGGCACAGCAGTTAAGATGCTGCGTAAAGCTGGCGGGGGTGGGTGGGGACCTGCACTGGGGCGCCTGGGGTCATGGCCCAGCTCTGCTTCCAGCCCAGCTTCCTGCTGATGCAGATGCTGAGAGATGACAAGTGATGACTCCCACTCAAGTCGGGGACCCAGGGAGGAGTCCTGCTTCCTGGCTTTAGCCTAACCCAGTCCTGGCTGCTACAGGCACTTGGGGAGTGAGCCAACAGACAAAAGATCTCGCTCTCTCTGTGTGTCTCTCTGCCTTTTAAGCAAAAATGAAAAGAAATCCACTTAAAATTCTTCCTGAGTTTACAGTAGCTTTACATAATTTCTCAACCAACAGATACTGAAGGTACAAAAACTTTCATGCATATTATTAATAATGCTATATTACCATGCTATGCTAATTATTAATATACAAATATTCCTATGACCCAAATCTATTCTGCTCCTAAGAAGCAAGGATCAGAAAGGTTAGAAAAGTCTCATTCCCCTCACATGAGCTGTCCTGAGCTTGCAGCAGCGGGCAGCAAGGGGGACAGTAATCAGAGACACATCTCACAGTGCGTATGCTGACATCGGAGCAGGAGAGGGGCGCTAGAGAACTAGGCCTTAGCTCACCAGCCCCGTGGCTTCGTGCCAGCTGCCACCATCCTAAGTTACTAGGGGATGCGGATGGCGTTTAGCATGGGTTGGCCTCCGCGGACTTCGTGGTTATGGAGGCACAGCTGCCCCATGCTAGGGAGCCTGTTCTCCCCCACCAGAAATGAGCAGAAGAACAAGGTGGGTGTCATACGGCGCATCCCATTCCTCACACACGGGGTGCTGAACACAAGGGATGGGGTCTCATCAAGTTCTCATTCTAAAGGGATGGGGCGGGGAGCTCACGGGGTCAAAGCTATCACTTCAGTGAAGAACACCAGGCCTCTTCCCCCGCTCCTCCTCCTGCACCTCCTCCTTCCTTAGGCGTCCTTCACAGGGGCAGGCATGCGGCACAGTGATGCAGATACTCTTGAGATGCCCACATCCCACCACGGCATGCCCAAACTCAATGCCCAGCCTGGGCTCCTAACTCCAGCTTCCCGACAATGCACACCCTGAGAGGCAGCAGGCATGCCTCAAGTCCTTTGGTCCCACCCACATGGGAGACCTGGGTGGAATTCCTGACTCCCGGCTTTGTCCTGGCCCAGCCACAGTTGTTGTAGTCATTTGGGGAGTGAATCAGCAGACGAAAGATCCCCGACTCTCCTCCTTTTCTCTGCCTTTCAAATAAGATAAATAAATCCCTCTTAAAAAGTGTTCAGGAAGGTCAGAAAGTCCACAAGTGGAGTGGACATGGGTAAGACGTACAAAAGGCCTCACCCGGCCTGGAAGGTCGGAGCAGGTGGGCACTGGGATCCCAGATCAGCAGAGACAGAGGCACAGCAGCCCAGGGCCCTGGAAGCAGGTCCCCGCCTTGCACATCTCTGCATTTTCTGGGCCAAGTACAGAGTCCCAGGTGGAAGAGGGCCAAGAAGTGACAAAGAAGCCAAAGAATAAAAATAATCTACCGTGTGCATGCCGTGTGCCCAACAGAGAGCACCTCAACTCAGCGTAAACCAGCCCAGCAGAACACGCTCAACCAAGAGACAGGGGTGGGGGCCTTCCAGGCAAGGAGGTGGAAACTGAGACAAGGGAAGGGGTTGTCTTAGTCCCATATGTGAGGGAACTGGGACTTGAACCC